CTGTGGATTTCTGATAAATCAGAGTCGCAGGCAAGTCGTGCAAACGCGTCTATTGCTGCGAAGCGGTTTCGTTGCCTTCGGGTCTAAGGTACGCGCCATACTTAATCCGCTTACTATTGGTCAAATCAGTGAACTGACCAATAGCAAAGGGGATGCACTCGATCCACACATCCATTTCACTATTGGTCAGTTCACTGACTTGGCCAATAGCGAAGTAGATGAAGTGGATCAAGCCGATCAAGTATGGCCCGTGCGTCAAAAAGTCGAACAGTTACTGCTACGATAAACTTCCCGCTTTGTATTCGAAAATAAATTTGATGACCTATTTTTTGTCTTTTGATCTTACCATTTTTTGCCGTCACTTGTTATTCGATCATAAATTGGAAATTCCATCCACCTTGATTATTTGCGTTACTCAAAGGTTTGTTATTTTCAGTTACCCGATTGCCGATCACTACTTCCTATTCACTCTGCTTGACACAGCCATCTGTACGCTTTTTCCCGCAATACTCATTATGTTCGTAAATTCCTTGTCGATCTATCGCTATCGACAATGTATGAGAATTTACTCATCGGGTGTACTACGAGTACGATTTGATCGTGCATCGAATGGCAATCCGATTCCTCCATATGTGAGTATTTATTACAAGATATATTTAGGTGTTTCTATAAATGGAATTTTAGGAGGAAACAACGGCAAAGAAATTGTTGCTCAGTCAGACGCATACAAATACGCATATGTCGACACAGTCGAACCGCTCAGCATGTGGAAAATTGCGATCATCTGATTTACAATTGAGCAGGACATTACTGATTGTTACGAGGTGGGTTTTGAAACGATTTTTAGCTAAACATGCTGAAAAAATCTTATAAAATACGGTGCCTATTGCTGTCGCGCTATGCGTGCCATTTTTGCACCCTTTACGACCCAAAGGCATCACGGCTGCGCGCAGTAGCGACCGCAGCTTGCGCTTTGTCTGCGTCTACGACCAGTCTCTACTGGGAGGACGTGTCAGGGGAATTGGGGAGGGGGGAATATACCTTCA